ATGTTCTACAATTGACATAAAGGGCAAACGATAGCGCGCTATCTTAGATAAAACTCGAATTTCTTTTTGGGATTCAAACCGTAAATCGGTTTTACACTGTCCCGGACGATTGCGGCTACGCGTAATCATTTTTGTTTAAGAAAATGTAAAATACTAATCCATACTTTGGGTACAGCACCAAAGTAAACTATCATATATCAACGACTGTTAAATACAATTCATAGAAATATATATGGATCTGTTGAATAGAGAAACGAAGCAATACAATAAAGAATAGCAGAGCGAGAAAGGAAGCGTACTTCTTTTATAAACAGCTTTAATTCTGAAGTCAATAAATCGGTATTTTTGACTCTTTTAATATAAGGTTGACACTGAGTTCGTATTTGCTCAACATTGCTCAGCATTACTTCATCGCCGAAAATGTGTGTTTTTATTTCGTATTGCGCTCAACTGTTCATTATCATATTAAAAACAGCGAAAGTTTCATATGCACTTATTTCTCGAGAAGTTATAAACAATGCTACTGAAGCTGATAAAACTGTTGTGTAGAAGACCTAATGGGAGAAGTGTGTGGTGGAAGGGTTTGCTCAGGAGAGAGATTCTAAAATATTTGCATGCAATTTCAATGTGTTTTTCATTTAAAAAGGATTTCACCGTTCCGCTTCAGACGATTCCAGGTCGTGTACGATATCTCCGAAAAACCGGTATGCTTCACCTGACCGATACGATTAAAATTATGTTTACCGTAGTAATATGTATGGCAAAACTGCTAAGACTAATCAAAAGATCCAGAGCCGTTTATTAAATTATGCAAAATAAGAGGCAGAGTATAAAGATTTTAAGTGAATCCGATGAATTGGACTTACAACACCATTATGATATAGAACTGCAAGAAGTAAATAGAATTTAGAAAATAAAGTAAAAAACTGTGTATTTCAATCAAAACGCTTTTTCGTTTATAAACATAATTCTTTTAAAACAAAATTTAAGATGGCAGACAGAATACCAACGTCTTCCAACTCCAAGATTTTTTGACGCATTGTTTCATTACGTTGGGGAATAAGCTGGAAATACAATATATCGAATACGTTAATAAGGTTAATATGTTTGTAGCGTTGAATTCATTTTAACCTGTTTTATGGATTGACGTTGTTCTGGTGTTTTGCAAAATGCCATTAAAACGGCAGCCATATGATGTTTGCCTAAACGCAAGCAGTGCTCTGCAAACTCTAATAAGTTTAAGGAGTGGACTACTGGACAACTCTAGTAGTTATTTTATGTTAAATTTTATTTTGTTTAATAATGCTATCTAACCTACCTGAAGCCTAAATAAAGTCTTATGCAATTTATCTTCCTGCTCAGCCGATTGAGTTTGATTGGCGTTCTTGAAAGGTTGTAATAAAATCCACTCCCAAGCCTTTGTTAGTCCTTCAATATGCAACAAATGCGCATAGCACGATAGCACATCCACTAAAGCGTTTAAATCGCGATGCATTGAAGATTTAACCATACGTTTCAGTATACCGTTCCAGATCTTATCTACATGTATATCAAATCCTAGACATATATTAGCCAACAGTTGTAGCGCATGAGGATTATTGGCATTACTTTGCCAAATTATTTTTAATATATCAATTTTATCCGATTGCTTGAATTTCTCTAAACTAGAATTATAGCCCAACTTTTTCAATTCATGCACACATTTTATAGCAATATATTGCTGCTGATCAAATATATTATTCAAATCAGTGCTTCCGTCATATAATTTGAAGTAACATTCATATATTTGCAATTGCTTGGAAGTGTTAGTCATTCTATAAGGACAGTAAAA